GCAATAAGCTGAGATCACGCCACTGTACCCTAGCCTGGGTTACAAACTGAGACCCCACCTCAAAAAAAAAAAAAAAAAGAAAAAGAAAAAGAAAGGTAACTGTTGAAGCTGCGCTACACGTATGGTATTTGTTAAACTCTTTTGTTGTTGTTGTTTGGAGTTGTCCTTAATAAAAAGAAAAAAAAAAAGGAGGAACCTATACAAGTTTAAAGTATATAATCAGAGTCTCTGCGAGCTGCAATTTTGTTGACTTTTGCAGTTTTGTGTTTGTATCCACCTTTCCTAGGTTTATTATACTATTTTATTGTACATGTCTCTTTGTGAAAGAGGCAATGCATAAATAAATTAAAAGCCTTATGCCAAAGCTAACAGAAGACTTAAACTTCCTGATTTTCCTAAGGGAATCATGCACTAAACTTGAAAATGGTGCAAATTTAATTCTGTAGCGTATGCTGTTGCATATTATGTGCTATTGTCCAACCCAGTAATGCAAAGTACAGAAATGGTGCATGTGGTCTGTGCAAATCCAAGAACATTTTGTTCAAGTTTATTGTACTCCAAGTTAATCTTATTTTATTGAGATAGCGTCTCACTTTGTTGCCCAGGCTGGAGTACAGTGGCACAATCTCAGCTCACTGCAAACTCTGCCTCCCAGGCTCAAGCAATTCTTGTGGCTCAACCTCCTGAGTAGCTGGGACTACAGGCATGTGCCACCACACCCAGCTATTTTTTGTATTTTTTGTAGAGATGGAGTTTCGCCATGTTGGCCAGGCTGGCCTTGAATTTCTGGCCTCAAGTGATCTGCCTGCCTCGGCCTTCCTAAGAGCTGGGATTACAGGCATAAGCCACTACGCTAGCCCGAGTTTACTTTATTTATTTATTTATTTATTTCTTTTTTTTTTTTTTTTTGAGACAGGGTCTTGCTTTGTTACCCAGGCTGGAGTACAGTGGCACAAACATGGCTCACTACAGCCTCAACCTCCCGGGCTCAAACGATTGTCTCACATCAGCCCAAGTAGCTGGCACTACAGGCACACACCAACACAACCAGCTAATTTTTAAATTTTTATAGAGACAAGGTCTCCCCGTGTTACCCGACTACTGTGGTAGTTACATTTCCCGAGCTTAAGTGTTCTGCCTGCCTCAGCCTCCCAAAGTGCTTGGATTACAGGCATGAGCCACTGTGCCCGGTTGGTCCAAATTCATTCTGAAGTAGTATAAAACATCTGTGTATTAACTATACCTTACCTGGTGTATAACCAGAAGAAATAGATGCTGTCAGCTCTGTGGTCTGAACATATTAAACAAAGCATAACAAATTTGGCACTGACAACCCAAAGCATATGAATTCATCCAGAGATGAAAAGTAGCCAAGGATAATTAGGTTCACATGAAATTAAATTTAGACAAGAATTTCAATTTGTCAATTTACAGGGATTATGCCAATTTAGGAAATTGTAATTACCTCTCATATAGAGCCTCCCCATCCTGGTATTTGTGTTTCTGGGAGAGTAAATCAGTGTCAGTTGCTTGGCAAGTATGGAATTAGAGGAAAGATACTTCCAAGAAAAAAGAATTTCATTTTGGCAACAATGTGCGACTACCAGAAAGATTCCCTCCTCCTTCCTTCAGCTATGAAAGACATTACTGGGACAACTGTGGAAATCAGAATACAGACTGTAATCACTCTAGAGAACAGTACTCCATTAATATAATTTTTCTGAATTTGATCGTTGTATTGTGGTCATGCAGAAGATGCCCTTGTTTTAGAGGATTAAGCTGAAGTATTTATGGGATTAAGCTGAAGTGTCTGGATGTCTGCAAATAACTCTCCAATGGTTTAGGAATGAAAGAAAAAATACAGAGATTAGCAAAGCAAACAAGATAAACTGTTACCAGTTGGTAAATTTAGATGAAGGGTATATGGGTGTTCATTGTTTTCTCTTGCAATTTTAAAAAAAATTTAAACTGTTCAAAAAAGAAATGGACATATGATCCAGAATGAACTCAACAAAAATGATGTCACCAACATTTACAAAGAAGGCTAAGGAGGCAAAAAGCAAGTGTCGCATCTTAAGTAGTAATAACCCGTTAGCCCACATTTCCTTCGGAAAACAGATAAGGTTCATAACAGGAAGTCATTTTCTTTTTTTTTTCTTTGAGATAGAGTTTTGTTCTTTTCGCCCAGGCTGGAGTACAATGGCACAATCTTGGCTTACTGCAACCTCCACCTCCTGGGTTAAATGATTCTCCTGCCTGAGCCTCCTAAGTAGCTGGGATTACAGGCGCACGCCACCAGGCCCGGCTAATTTTTGCATCTTTAGTAGAGACAGGGTTTCACCATGTTGGCCAAGCTGGTCTTGAACTCCTGACCTCAAGTAATCTGCCCCCTTCAGGCTCCCAAAGTGCTGGGATTATAGCAGTGAGCCAGCATGCCCAGTCAAAAGTCAGTTTCTAGATGGAACTTCAGTTTAAAGAAAATTCTTTTATTGTTATATAGATGTAGTATATATTATATAGTCAGAAATAAATCTGAGATATGGTGTTATATGGCCTAGAGGAAGAAGACATACTGCCTATATATGATGAACATAGATGATTTACTTTCCAAGAAAAGGAACTATAGCAAACTTTCAGAATTTTACCCTGTACTTAGATAAAAATCTATTATTCAAAGGCTTTATTCACTAACAATTTACTGAACACCTGTTATATCCCAGTGGTCCTGAGCTTAGTCCTTGCCTTGAAGAACAGCCTATCAGAGTCTCTGCATATCTTTTCAAAATCCTAGTTTAATTTTAGTAATTTAGATCGCAGGTAACCTAGAAATAATTTACAACTACTATTTAAAGGCAATTATGCCCGGGTGCAGTGGCTCACGCCTGTAATTCCAGCACTATGGGAGGCCGAGGCGGGTGGATCACTTTAGGCCAGGAGTTCGAGACCAGCGTGGCCAACATGGGGAAACACTGTCTCTACTAAAAATACAAAAATTAGCTGGGCATGGTGGCATATGCCTGCAATCCCAGTTACTTGGGAGGCTGAGGCATGAGAATCACTTAAACCTGGGAAGCAGAGGTTGCAGTGAGTCAAGATCGTGCCACTGCACTCCAGTCTGGGTGAGAGAGTGAGGCTCTATCTCAAAAATAAATGAAATAAAGGCAGTTACAATTTTCTACTTCAGTTAAAATGGCATATAATTCTGTAAGCCATAATATAGTGTATAGTCTTGTTTGTGGTAGTTACATTTCGTCAAGTATCTGATTCGTTACCACATAAGTTATTTTTCAACGGAGAAGCCAGTCTTTAAGTACACAATCAAATCAAAAGTCGAAAGAGTAAAATGTCAATCTGTGAACTGACTACCTCTGCATTTCTGTTGTTTATCTTCTTTTTACTGGCTTAGAGTTCACAGATCAATGAGACTTGTCTCTTTAATTATGGGTTCTTAGATATATAATAAGAATCCACTACACGAAAGCTCAATATTCTTATAAAGAAAAGCTTAGGAACTCATAATGTTGTAATATCTGGATGTCTGCAAATAATTCTTAAATGGTTCAGCAAAAAAAGATAAAAAGGGGGGGCCGGGCATGGTGGCTCATGCCTGTAATCCCAGCACTTTGGAAGGCCAAGGAGGGCAGATCACCTGAGGTCAGGAGTTCCAGGCCAGCATGGCCAACATGGTGAAACCCTATCTCTACTAAAAATACAAAAATTAGCCGCATGACTACAATTCCAGCTACTCGGGAGGCTGAGGCAAGAAAATTCCTTGAACCTGGGAGGCGGAGGTTGCAGTGAGCCAAGATCAAGCCACTGCACTCTCAGCCTGGGAGACAGAGCAAGACTCCATCTCAAAAAAATAAGTAAATAAATAAAAAGAGGATATGCACCATGGAGACCATATTTTTCATTTCTGCTGAGTACTATATTACCGCTGAGCAAAAGGTCCCACTACATAAAGTGATTTTTTTTTTTTTTTTTTTTTGTGAGACAGAGTTTCACTCTGGTTGCCTAGGCTGGATGGAGTGCAATGGCGCAATCTCAGCTCACCGCAACCTCCGCCTCCAAGGTTCAAGCGAGTCTCCTGCCTCAGTCTCCTGAATAGCTGGGATTATAGGGATGCACCACCACACCCGGCTAATTTTTTTGTATTTTTAGTAGAGACGGGGTTTCTCTATGTTGGTCAGGCTGGTCTCGAACTTCTGACCTCAGGTGATCCGTCCGCCTCAGCCTCCCAAAGTGCTGGGATTACAAGCGTGAGCCACTGCACCCGGCCGATTTTTTCTTTTTTTTTGAGACAGGGTTTTACTCTGTCATCCAGACTGGAGTGCAGTGGTACAATCTTGGCTCACTGCAACCTCCACCTCCCGGGTTCAAGTGAGTCTCCCATCTCAACCTCCCGAATAGCTGAGACTATAGGCACGCACCACTATGCCTAACTAATTTTTGTATTTTTTGGTAGAGATGGGGTTTCACCATGTTGGCCAAGCTGGTCTTGAACTCCTAACCTGAAGTAATCTGCCTGCTTCAGCCTCCCAAAGTGCTTGGATTATAGGCGTGAGCCACTGTGCCCAGCTGAGAATGTCATCATTAATAGAGACTTTACCCTGTTCCATTGGGATTTCTTTTCATTAAGGCCTACTGAGAGATTAAAAATGATGGAGGAGAACCTGTTCATTAACGGCCACATGTGTGACTAAAGTTTACATACAGTGCCTGACCTAAAACGCAGCCTTTCACTACTGCAAGGTAAATTCAGCCGTCAGGATTCTTTCTGTAAAGCTGGGCTGTAGACTCACACCTGAAGTTTTCATTTGTCCTAAAGGACAGGGGAGATGGCGGGAGGCAAGCATGTGCCTGTGTGAGGACCCCTCTCTGCCTGCTTGTGGCAGAAGAGGTCCCTGCAGAAGACACATTGCAAATGTGTGAAAGATGAGCTGTGGAACAAATGAGCAGGGGCAGTTTCTGAATCTGATAAAATTACATTCTTGCTAGAATCACTGCTTCAATGGTTGTTTTTTATTAAAAGAAAAACAATTCAAAACACATAAGAAATTAGACTTTTATCAATACACAAATAATTTTACTTAAAATCAACCCAGCTACATATTTTTAAAAAATTGCAGAACCTCTCCGCACCAATGTCCACAACCTAGAATAGGTTCGTGTGAAACCTGTAGTCCTACCCTGGAGCATCAGTAAGTGATGGTCCAGGTACTCACTGACACGTTTCTCCTGACACCGAGATGGTCGCAAACAAAACACCGTTCTTGCCTGGATGAAGCAAGAGTTCACATAAAAGAGCTTTATAAAATGTCTATGAAGGAGAGTTGGTAATATCAGAAGAGCTCCAGCACTTCAATTGAATATAATCCTCTATTATTCTTTTCTTGATTTAATTTCTGTAGCTCCCGAAAACTTACTTCAATCTTGTTGAGCTCGGAATAAACAGATATCTAAAGAAAAAAGTTTCAGAGTAACTTTTACCATAATGTCTACATAGAAACAAATCTTCCATGACTATTAGTAAGTAAGGACAAATTTTAAGAATAAATTGTAATTCAGGTGATACTTAGGTACAAATAAAATCAGTGTATATCAAATAATCACAAACCTGAGATTTTACAAGCTTGTAAAGATTTATCAGTAGCCTCTTTGCTTCTGGCATCATTACTACAACAGTAAAATTTGCATCCAGAAGTAGACATATCCAATCCATAATCTGAAAATGAATAGGAAAAGGAAAGTTAAGGTTTTAAATTTAACTTCAGGTTAATTCACTTTACCAAGTCCATAAATATATCAAACAGTTATGAGAAAAATAAGTCTTTATAAATAAAATCTGAACATTTTAATTTAGAGATGGAGGAATTTCTACGAAATATAAAAAGGCTCGTTTCTGGCTTTTAAAACATCTATTTTAATTAAGAAAATATTTTAGAGATGGGAATCTTGCTATGTCACCCAGGCTGGAGTAGGAATGCAGTGGCACAACTCATAGCTCACTGGAGCCCCCAAACACCTGGGCTGGAGTCCTGCCTCAGCCTCCCAGAGTAGCTGCAATCATCCAGAGCTGTTGGGATTACAGACGCACCACAATACCTGGCTAATTTTTAACAATTTTTGTAGAGATGGGGTTTTGCCTTATTGCCAAGCTGGTCTTGAACTCCTGGCCTCAAGCAATCCTCCAACCTCAGACTCCCAAAGTGCTAAGATTACAGGCTTGAGACACCGCGCCTGGCCAGTAGTTGCCTTTTTATTTTTAAAAATTTTAGTTTTTAGTTTTGATAATTTTCAGTTACAAAACAAAATAACCACTCATCTTCTATTCTGCAAGATACATTTTTCCCCAAGGACAAGGTGTTGTGTATTATAGATGAGCTACCATAAACTAGAATTATTACTAAGCATTTATAAAAGTTTCTTATGTAGTCCTACATCTTCCAATGGTGTAGTTAACATGCAACTATCAAAGCACCCAGGAAACTGGTTATCCATTTGGGAGGGGGAGCTGATCCCTATGGAACTCCTTATTCCAGATTAAATTCTATATGTATCAAAGAGTTAAACACAAGAAATAAAACCATGTAGTAGGGAAAGCTGGTGACTATTTTCATAATCTTAGAGTGGGAAGGGCCTTAAACATAACATAAGCCATAAAGAAGTCATACAGGAAAAGTTTAATTAATTTTAATAGCATGAAAGTGTCTGTCAAAAATTATACGAGAGAATAAAAAGACAAATAACTTACAATGCATTTGATAGAAAAAGGCTAATTTCCTTAATATAAAAGGAACTTTTTATAAACCAAAAGACAGGAAATGCAATAAATATATGGACAAAGAACCCGACTAGGCAGATTCACAAAAACAAATATAAACGGACAAGAAATGGTTCCCTTCTCTCATTATCAAAGAAATGCAAATTAAAATGAAGTAACACCTGTTACCCATCTGATTGGCAAAGAGTAAGTTTGACAAAACTGGGTGTCAGTAAGAATGTGAAAAAGAATGCTTCAGACCTTGCTGGTGGTAGCTGTCACAACTCTTCAGAAAGTCTGGCATTTTGAAAACTAAAAATGCATGTACCATTTCATCCAGTAATTTCTCTTGTGGGAATTTATTCAACAGGCATTCTCATAAATATACAAGAATATCTGTATAAAGATGCCCACTGAAGATTTACGACAGCAAAAAATGGTAAACAATTTAAATGTCCATCAATAGAGGAATGATAGATACATTAATTTATATTTGTAAAATGAAATAGTATGCATTGGTTAAAAGGAATGAGGCAGATGTATGTCTATTGGTCCAAGAAATGTCTGATACAGTGCTGAGTGGGCTGGGTGCAGTGGCTCACACCTGTAATCCCAGCACTTTGCGAGGCTGAGGCGGGTGGATCATCTTGAGGTCGGGAGATTGAGACCAGCCTGGCCAACATGGTGAAATCCTGTCTCTACTAAAAGCACAAAAACTAGCTGGGCGTGGTGGTGGCGACCTATAATCCCAGCTACTCAGGAGGCTGAGGCAGGGGAATCGCTTGAACTTGGGAGGCAGAGATTGCAGTAAGCCAAGATCACACCACTGCACTCCAGTCTGGGTGACAGAGCAAGGCTCTGTCTCAAAAAAACCAAAAACAAAAACAGAAACAAAAAAAGCAAAAAACTACTTAAAAATTTAACTTATTTTTAGGCCAAGTAAGTGTCTCATCCCTGTAATCCATATGCTTTGGGAGGCCAAGGCAGGAGTTAAGCCCAGCAGTTTGAGACCAGCCTGGGCAACATAGAAGTCCCTGTCTCTACAAGAAAATTTAAAATAAAAAAACTGTATTTTGGCCGGTTGTGGTGGCTTACACTTGTAATCCTAGCACTTTGGGAGGCTGAGATGGGCAGATCACCTGAGGTCAGGAGTTTGAGATGACCCTGGTCAATATGGTAAAACCCCATCTCTACTAGAAACACAAAAATTAGCCGAGCGTGGTGGTGCATGCCTGTAATCCCAGCTACTTGGGAGGCTGAGGCAGGAGAATCGCTTGAACCCGGGAGGCAGAGGTTGCAGTGAGCTGAGACTGTGCCACTGCATTCTAGCCTGAGACAGAGCGAGACTCCATCTCAAAAAAGGAAAAAAAAATGTATTTTCATGTGGTGTGGTGGCATGCACCTGCAGTCCCAACTACTTGGGAGGCTAAGCGGCGAGGACTGCTTCAGGGCAGGATCTGCACCAAACTATGATTCCCACTGCACTCCAGTGTGGTTGACTGAGTGAGATCTTGCCTTCTTGAAAAGGAGAAAAAAAAAAAAGTTATTTTTTAAATGAAGAAGAGCCAATTTAAGTGTTTAAAAATCCTTTGTTAGAATAACATATTACCAAACCAAAACAATTTATTGCTTCTCTGTGGGAAGGGTGATCTTGAGCCTGTGGGGAGCAAGCTGGCCCCAGATTTCTCCAAGTCCACATTTCTTTGCCTCCAATTCTTACATGTCCAAAGACAAGGAACTATAGACATGCCTTTGTAGGAGGGTAAATACATTATTTTTAAATGTTTCTTACTGTTTTTTAAATAACTTTTTTTTTTTTTGAGATAGAGTTTCACTCTTGTTGCCCAGGTTGGAGTGCAGTGGTGCCATCTGGGCTCACCGCAAGCTCTGCTTCCTAGGTTCAACTGATTCTCCTGCCTCAGCCTCCCAAGTAGCTGGGATTACAGGCATTTACCACCACACCTGGCTAATTTTGTATTTTTAGTAGAGACGGGGTGTCTCCATGTTGGTCAGGCTAGTCACTAACTCCCGATCTCAGGTGATCTGCCCACCTTGGCTTCTCAAAGTGTTGGGATTACAGGCATGAGCCACCGTGCCCAGCATAAGTATTTTTTTTTTTTTTCTGAGACAGAGTCTCACTCTGTCCCCAGGGTTGGAGTATAGTAGCACAATCTTGGCTCACTGCAACCTCTGTCTCCCTACTTCAAACGATTCTCCTGCCTCAGCTTCCCGAATAGCTGGGACTACCAGTGCTTGCCACCACGTCCAGCTAATTTTTGTATTATTAGCAGAGACGGGGTTTCACCATGTTGGCCAAGATGGTGTCAATCTCTTGACCTCGTGATCCGCCCGCCTCGGCCTCCCAAAGTGCTGGGATTACAAGCGTGAGCCACCGCGCCTGGCCTATAAGTATTATTATTATTATTATTTTTTGAGACAGAGTCTCGCTCTGTCACCCAGGCTGGAGTGCAGTGGCGTGATCTCAGCTCACTGCAAACTCTGCCTCCCAGGTTCACGCCATTCTCCTGCCTCAGCCTCCCGAGTAGCTGGGACTACAGGCACCCGCCACCTCGCCCGGCTAATTTTTGTATTTTAAGTAAAGACGGGGTTTCACCGTGTTAGCCAGGATGGTCTTGATCTCTTGACCTTGTGATCCGCCTGCCTCATCCTCCCAAAGTGCTGGTATTACAGGTGTGAGCCAGCGCACCCGGCCAGTATTATTTTTAAAGAGGGACCACCATGGGATTCTCTGGGAATATTTTTTCACTAACCTTTATTCTCTTATTCCTTTTTTTTTTTTTTGAGATGGAGTTTTGCTCTTGTTGCCCAGACTGGAGTGCAGTGGCACGATCTCGGCTCACTACAACCTCTACCTCCTGGGTTCAAGCAGTTCTCCTGCCTCAGCCTCCCAAGTATCTGGGATTACAGGCATGCATCACCATGCCTGGCTGATTCTGTGTTTTAAGTAGAGATGGCGTTTCACCATGTTGGCCCACCTGGTCTCAAACTCCTGACCTCAAGTAATCCTCCTGCCTCGGCCTCCCAAAGTGCTGGGATTACAGGTGTGAGTCACCAGGCCCTGCCTATTCTCTTAGTCTTAAGAGATTATTAAGAGGGCAACTTATATTATCAGCTCCTTCCTGTTGTCTCCCATCAAGGCTAAGGAAATTCTTGGAAAAGGGTCATAATGAAGAATCAGGAATTTAAGATAAATTAAAATTCTGTGGTGTAGAATTATGGATCTAGAAATCTATTAAATGAGAGACTCCCCATTTCTAACTGCAGTGGTTTGGTTTTATGAGGGAAGAGATTCTTATGGCCTAGGAAACAAGAAGAATGAATGCAGGTGCTGACCTTGAATACAACTTTTTTTTTACGAATTTTTCCCAGCACCAAATCAAAGTAAAAACATAATCTCACCTGGTTCAAGGTAGGTGGGTTTATTCCAGGAAGAGTCATAGTAGCATTTTCGCTACACTTCAGATACAGGAAATACAAATACTTGAGAAACAGCTGGGTGGAAAAACAATGGACAATTTATCACTTTGATAGAAAAAATTTATCTTATTATATAAACCCATCACGAAGACTGAAAAAAATGTTCAATTTAACTATACATCAAACAAATACACCAGACATCTGGAGACACAAAAATGAATAAAATGCAGTTCCTCCCATTAATGAGGAGCTCATCTGGTTTGGGGGTAGTGGTGGTGATGAGCTCATTGTTTGTAAATAATAGGTAGAGAAGACAGAACCCTTCTCTCAGCAATTCTTTTTAGTGTTTATTCATGTATAACTTAGGAAGCTTAACTTGGCCTTCAAGTTTGGCACAAGGAATATGCCATGGTCTATCACCCTAGAATCGCTCGAGTTTTCTCAGCACAATTTTTTGCCATGAGAGCTGGGCAACCTCTTATTCACATGAAAGAATCTGATAACCTTTAGAATGCCCTAACAGCTGGTTAGAGTTAAATAGCAAAGTTTAAACCAGAAGTAAAATTCTATACAACTTGTATGAACACTTACTGTGATATGCTGTGCTGGGATGTCTTTCAAATGAGGCAGAAGAAATGTTTCGCTATATGCTGAATGAAGAATTGCATTACTTAGGACTAAAGGAAAATCTTACTTCAATAAATAGAAGCTATTCTATTGAACTTATGAGTAACTTCCTTCCTCAATGTTAGTTTTCTAAATTTATACAAAAGTTTTACGTCTCTAAAAGACCTCTATGGCCAAACACTCTCCTAATCATCGGAGATCATGTGGGATACTTTAATTGGTATTTATTCAGAATACTGATCTTCAGAATTGATAGAGCTTCTGTGTTAGTATAGCTGCTGCTGCTTCTTTTTTTTAAAACTGATGTAGAGATGGGGGTCTAGCCATGTTGCCCAGTCTGGTCTCGGACTCCTGGGCTCAGACAATTCTCCCACTTTGGCCTCCCAAAGTGCTGGGACTACAGGCATGAGCCACCATGCCCAGCCTAGTTAAATTAAACAGGTTTAAGTAAACCTTACTTAATGTAGCATTGAACATAATCTATTTTCAAACAGAAACAAAACACAATTGGAAAAGGAAAGAAAAACCTTACATTACTGAGTTACTCCTTAGTTATTGCTTGGCATATAACTATACCCTATAAAGAGAAACAGACGGATGCTCTATGTCAAAGGATACAGTAGAGCTGCTCTTTTTGGTACCACAGGGCATGAAGTGCTCTCCTTTGTTTCGTCCTGAGGCTTTTTATTTAACTCTTGATCACAGTTACTGCATTTATCTTCTTCAGGACTGAAGCCATTTTGGAGAATTTCAGTTTGCTCTTCCATTTTCTCATCATGCACAGAATTACTATAGTCAAAAACTGACTCCATACTGACATCTGTTTCTTGAAGACTGTCATCACCAATGCTACAATGTTAATTGAAAGCAAGAGGTTAATCCTTATCACCAAACTTTTGGGAAAAATTTCATTTCCTAAGCATCAAAATTTTGGAAATCAAACAATGTAACAGATTATAAATGTAATGAAGAAAAAGGACCACTGGAGTCTAACTTACCTCAAGAAAATTTTTAAGCAAGCACAGGTGACTGATTCAGGAATGTCAGGGAACTGTTGTAGACAGAGTTGTAACAACTGTACATCTTTCTTTATTAAGGCAATCTCCATCAAGTCGGGGCACAAACTAAGACAAAAAAATCTGAATCACTATTACATATTAAGAAAAATCTCAACTGCAGATCATTTATAAGCCTTTTCAGAGTTCCAGAAGATTAGAACTATAAAAAACAAGGTCAGAAGAGTTATGCACGTACAGTGTGGTACACACAAACAGCTACCTGTAAGAAAGCACATGCGTTTGGATAAGCTGCACCAGACAGTTCCGGGGATAAAATGACGGTTCTGCTTTACACCTTTCCAGAAGTCCTGTTACTGTGTCCCCAATGACAGTATGAAAGTCAGGTGTCTGCTTCAGAGCCAAAAATTTCCGTACTTCTACTTCAATGTGTTTTTCTGAATCTTCCTGAAAGGGCAGAATTCAAGAATTCAGTTTGGCACATTAACGAATGTCACTCCGAACTTGAAAGTTTCCTAGCACAACATTTTCTCAAATGACTAACAGTTTTCATGCATTCCTGCAAAGCTGAAGCTGACACTGCAAAGTTAAATGAGAAAGAGAGAAGACTAACACCATATCAATCTCATGAGGTGATAGCGAGCATCAAAGAAGCCAAAATATTGGATCAACTCTGACACCCTTAAGATACTACACAGATGTTAGCTATAGCTATCGCTATCAAGATGATCATAACAATAAGACAGAATAGAGATTAGATGTGATTTCTTTGAAACACTTGAGTTGTTTTTCATATTATTTATTTACCATTATGGTTGACAAAAGTTGTTTGGATGGTGGAACCTCTGGCTGTAAACTCACTTCAATTTTTCGTCTCCTTAACTGGAATTAAGTAAACCGATTAGGATCACAAAACAATGTAAGAGATCCAATATACATTTAGAGGGCTATGAAACACCCCAAAGCACACTTTTGCTCTCATCAAAAACTTTTAAAAGTAAATATAACTAATAGACAACTTGGGGCATTTCTGGATAAAGAATGTGAGGTTACTGGGTTCAAGCCTCAAACTGTCCTGTCATTAAAGTCAAAGCTATAAGAGTTGTAAGGATATGATTCATTAAAATAATTCAGTCTTTTTCTGTTTTTCAACATTTGCACTAACATTTCAATTTCAACTACGAAACTTACAATTCTTCTTGACTGCTCTGAGTTTTGGAATCCAAGTCCACATCCTTGAGGTGTTTCCCAGTTTACAAAACGGGGCATGACATGAGTTCCTAAGAAAATGCAAAATGCACAATTTCTGGAATGTTTCGACTTACTGATTTTTGCCCAACTAAACAATTAAAAAAAAAAACACTCCTACAATTTAAGAGAGGCTTTAAAAGTCCGTGTAATTCTACTGATAACCTCAGATAAGTAAACCATAACACAGTAAAAAGGCTGTATGTCCAACAACATGAAGCTAACAGATGAGGCCATCAGTAAACAAGGGAGGACGGAGGTATTACTGATTTTGTTTAGGAGTTTTCCCATTGCCCCAAAAGTCAGAAGAACACTGGCATTCAAAACAGTATAGCTCTTCAGCTTGCAGTAGAACCTGCAATTTGGACTGTTCACAAGTTTCAAACTTTTTGTTTTTCCTTTTTCTGTGGAGAACGGGGTCTATGTTGCCCAGGCTGGTCTTGAAGTCCTGGGCTCAAGCTATCCTCCCACCTCTGCCTCCTTAAGTGCTGGGATTACAGGGATGAGACACCGTGCCCAGCCTGTTCACAAGTTTCAATAAACAGTGGTAAATTTCAAAATTAAAAACAAGCTTTACAAATAGAAGGCTGTGGTAATCTATATGAAACTAGAGGTTAATAAAATGGTTTGTATTAATAAAACAAGCATAAGTTTCTACCTGGATCTTGACCATGTTTGAGTTTTCCAAGAGCACCTGCTAATGATGACACTTCACACTTGTATGGAATCACAGTCAGAGATTTTCCATGTAGCATAAATAAATTTTCTCCATAATACCAGAGCTACAAAAAAGTTATCAAAAACATAAGCAAAGTTTTTTCTCTTCTAAGGTCTGACTCAATAAAGCCTTATCACTTACTGTATAAGCTCTCAGTATTAAAAACAAGGCAAAGTAAGCAACTTCCCAGAATAATTTTTTTTTTTTTTTTTTTTGAGACGGAGTCTTGCTCTGTCGCCCGGGCTGGAGTGCAATGGCCGGATCTCAGCTCACTGCAACCTCTGCCTCCCGGGTTTATACGCCATTCTCCTGCCTCAGCCTCTTAAGTGACTGGGACTACAGGCGCCCGCCACCACGCCCGGCTAATTTGTTGTATTTTTTAGTAGAGACAGGGTTTCACCGTGTTAGCCAGGTTGGTCTCGATCTCCTGACCTCGTGATCCGCCCGTCTTGGCCTCCCAAAGTGCTGGGATTACAGGCTTGAGCCACCGCGCCCAGCCCCAGAATAATTTTCTATGTAGAACTTATTAAATAGGCTCTTATTTTTGCTCAAGTCTGAATGAAGCATAATTTAAATACTTTCAACTCAGAAGAATCTAATCAACATACACATTTTAAAAACCTCAATTGTTTAAAATTAATGTGGTCACTATTATACATCTATTAACATAATAACTACCAAGGCTACTATAGCATGGGCAAACTTCTAATGCACTAAATTTACAAACCAGAATTTAACACCTTATATCTTATGATTGTAAAAATAAGACAGGTATGTGAAAAAAAGTCTGACGGAACAAGGAAATATTTGTAATAATAAATAATAAAATGATAAAATAAAATAAGTTGTAACAAAAAAATGTGAGTTTATTCACAATAAAAAATTGTGAATAATTTTGTTAAAATTACATATAAATTATAATTAAATTGTATGCTGAGAAACCTTGTCTCTTTATCCTCAGATTAAAACTACCAAAACATCCTATTGCCTTGATTTACATTTTATTTGTATATGAATATTCATTCACTAAGTAACTAAAACTTACTGTGCACCTTGGTAAGCACTGAAAATACACTGGAGAAAAAAACTTACCAGGAACCCTGCCTCAGGAAGTGCACAGTCTTCCCAGCTTCCATTTTAATTCTTTTAAGTATTTTTATGTAATTTCATGGTAACATTTAACACATAATCTAAAAGACCAGTTTATTAGGAAAAGTAACAGCTTGAGGGTATAGTTCAAAATACATAAGTAAAAAGACAAAACCAAAGAGCAGCTAAAAACAAAAGCTGTTAAATAGCCAATTGTTCTGGCAATAATTTAGAATTTTGGAAGTGATTTCAACAATAACCAAACTAAACATAATCCCTCAGGTAAAAAATAATTCTTAATTTGATCAATAACTGCCAAGCTATTTACTTATTTATTTACAGAGATGGGATCACATTGTGTTGTCCAGGCTGGACTGTAGCAGCTCTTCACAGGCACAATCATACAGCACTGCAGCCTTGAACTCCTGGGCTCGAAAGATATTCCTGCCTCAATCTCCTTAGTAGCAGGGACTACAGATACACACCACCACACCTGGTGTGAAAAGCTGCCAAAATATTTAGGTCCGAAGAGATCTCTTCCCTTACAGCATATTTACTAGGCACAAAAATAACTACATTTCTGAAGCAGGAGGATCACTTGAGCCCAAGGGTAAAAGACCAGCCTGGGCAACACAGTGAGGTCCCATCTCAAAACAAAACAAAGCAAAACACAACAAAATAACTAAATCAGAGAAAGTACTTAAGTGAAAAAACTTACTTGACCACTGGTCCCTTGTGGTAACTCTTTTGAAGTCTGTAGTGTTTGAAATTTTATGTTCCATACAGAGAGGCATTCTATAAAATAAGACATAAATTCAGAAAGAGTCCCAAATATAAATATATGATATTTTGGGGAAGGGGGGAGTTATAGTTAAATATATACATTTTGCTTTATTTAGTATAGAAATGTATTATGAAGACAGTGATTGCCACAGGAGCTGGAAGAAATGAGAGCTCCTGGTAAGAAGCAGCCTGGAAAGGCCGGGCGCAGTGGTTCACGCCTGTAATCCCATCATTTTGGGAGCCTGAAGCAGGCGGATCACGAGGTCAGGAGATCGAGACTATCCTGGCTAACACGGTGAAACTCCGTCTCTACTAAAAATACAAAATTAGCCGGGTGTGGTGGTGTGCATCTGTAGTCCCAGCTACTTGGGAGGCTGAGGCAGGAGAATGGCATGAACCTGGAAGGCAGAGCTTGCAGTGAGTGGAGATCGTGCCACTGCACTGCATCCTGGGCGACACAGCGAGACTCCATCTCAAAAAAAAAAAAAAACAAAAAAAAAAAAACAAAGAAGCAGCCTGGAAAGGTGAGCCCTGAGGAAGGGAGGGCTTTATGAATCAGGAATAACAATGAAAAACAACCAACAAAGAAAAGCCCAAGACCAGATGGCTTCACTGGTAAATTCTACAAATTTAAAAATTAACACTAATCTTCCCAAACTCTTTCAAAATATAAAAGAGCAGGAAATACTTCCTAAACTCACTCAGGCTTTTGGATGCTCTGATACCAAAGCCAGACAAAGACACTACACAAAAAAACTACAGAGCAATAACCCCATGAGTATAGATGCAAAAAGAAAATCCTCATCAAAATACCAACAGACCAAATCCAAGGGGAATCCATGACCAAGAGGGATTGATTCCAGGGATGAAAGGGTAGTTAACAGAAGAAAACCAATCAGTGTAGCATGTACATCAACAGAACAAAGGGAATAACCATATGATCACCTCAGCTGACACAAGGCATTGTAGAATCTCTTTCATAAAAACAACAACAACAACAACAAAAAAAAAACAAAAAAAAAAACCTCAGAAAGCTAGGAAAGAAGAAGGAGCTTTCTTAACATGATAAAGGGCATCTATGAAAAACCCACAATTACCTTCAGTCAACAGTGAAAGACTAAATGCTTTCCCCCTAAGATAAGCCAAAAGACAAGGGTGCCTGCTCTGCCCTCTTCACCACTGCTATTCTACACAACTATCATTACACTGAGTGGTTAAAAACTGAAAACTATCCCCCTAAAATAAGGAACAAGAGAAGGAGGCTTATTTTTACCACTGCTATTCAAGTTCTAGCCAGAATAATTAGGCAAGAAGAAGAAAAACAAAAATCCAATTTTTGTTTGTTTTGAGACAGTCTTACTCTGTCGCCCAAGCTGGAGTGCAGTGGCACGATCTCTGTTCACTGCAACCTACCTCCTGGGTTCAAGTGATTCTCCTGCCTGAGCCTTCCAGTAGCTGGGACTACAGGTGCATGCCACCACACCCGGTTAATTTTTGTATTTTTAGTAGAGACGGGGATGTCACCATGATGGCCAGGTTGGTCTCGAACTCCTGACCTCAGGTGATCCACCCATCTCAGCCTCCCAAAGTGCTGAGATTACAGGTATGAGCCACCACGCCCAGCCAAAAATCCAAATTTAAATGGAGGTAAAACTAACTCTATTCACAGATGACATGATCCTGTATAGAGAAGAATCCACAGGAAAAGATTAGCATTAATAAATTCAGCAAGGTTGCAGGGTACAAGATCAACATACAAAAATCAGATGCTCCTATATACTAAAAACAAAAAGCAAATCAAGAAAAAAAATTCCGGCTGTGCATGGTGGCTCATGCCGGTAATCCTAGCACTTTGGGAGGCTGAGACAGGCGTATTGCCTGAGCTCAGGAGTTGGCGACCAGCCTGGGCAACACAGCGAAACCTCGTCTTTACTAACATATAAAAAATTAGCCGGGCGTGGCAGAATGCAACTGTAGTCCCAGCTGCTCGGGAGGCTGAGGCAGGAGAAATGCTTGAACCTGGGAGGCAGAGGTTGCAGTGAACCAAGATCACGCTACTGCACTCCAGCCCTGTGACAGAGTAAGACTCCATCTCTAAAAATAAAAATAAAAAAGAGAAAAATAATACCATGTATATTAGCATCCAAAAGAATAAAATACCTAGGAATAATTTTTTTTTTTCAGACGGAGTCTTGCTCTTATTGCCCAGGCTGGAGTGCAGTGGCGCGATCTTGGCTCACCGCAACCTCCACCTCTTGGGTTCAAGTGATTCTCCTGCCTCAGCCCCTGCCCCCACCAAGTAGCTAGGATTATAGGCGTGTGCCGCCACACCCGGCTAATTCTGTAGTTTCTTTCAATAAAGAAGGTGTTTCTCCATGTTGGTCAGGCTGGTCTGGAACTCCTGACCTCGGGTGATCTGCCCACCTTGGCCTCCCAAAGTGCTGGGATTACAGGTGTGATTACTGCGCCCGGCCCCTAGGAACAAATTTAACCAAGAAAGTGAAAGCATTGTACACTAAAAGTTATAAAACATTGCTGAATGGAATTAAAGAAGACATACACAAATAGAGACATCCTGTGTTCAGCAATTGGAAGACTTAATATTAAGATGGCAATACTGCACAAAGCAACCTACAGGCTCAGTTCAATCTCAATCAAAATTCCAACAGTCTTTTTTGCAGAAATGGAAAAGCCAATCTTCAAAATCACATGGAATAATTGCAATTATTCCGTTGGCCTAAACAGCAAAAACAAACTTGAAAAAGAAGAACAAGGCTGGAGAGCTCATAATTCCTGATTTCCAAACTGCTTATAAAGTTAACAGTAATCAAAACAGTGCGGTACTGGCCCAGTGTAACAGACTGAGAGTCATCTAGGGCCAAATGATTTTTCAACAAAGGTGCCAGGACCACTGTGGTGCTGGGACAACTGGAGAGCCACATGCAAAGGAACAAAGTTAGTCCCTTATTTTACACTATACACAAAAATAACTCAAAATGAATCAACAACCTAAATATAAGAGCTAAAACCAAACATTCTTTGAAGAAAACGTGGGGATCCGTCTTTATGACCTTGGATTTGGCTATGGATTCTTGAATGTAGAACCAAAAGCACAAGCAACCAAAGAAAAATAAAAATTGGACTTCATGAAAATTAAAACTTTTGTGCACGAAGGGACATTATCAACAAAGTGAAGACAACCTATGGAATGGCAGAAAATATTTGGAAATCATATGTCTGATAAGGGTATAGTATCTAGAATATATAAAGAACGCTTAGAATTCAACAACAAAACGACAACCTAATTTAAAAATAGGCAAAGGACTCATATAGACAATTCTCCAAAGAAGACACATAAATAGACAATGAGCATATGAAAAAATGTTCAACACCCTTAGTCATTAGGGAAATGCAAATCAAAACAGAAATGAAGTACTATCTCACACCCACTAGAATGGCCAGAATCCAAATTATGGAAAAACAGCCACATGTGAGCAAGAACACAGGGAAACTGGAACCACTGTACAATGCTGGTGGGAATGTAAAATGGTTTAGCCACTGTGGAATTCGGCACTTCTTCAAAAAGTTAAACACAATCAATAACGAAGAGAATAACTAAAATGCTTGCAAAGCAAAGCAATGACAAATGCTTGAAGTAATGGGTACCCCATTTACCCTAATGTGATTATTATGCAATGCATGTCTGTATCAAAATATCTCATGTGTCCCCTAAATACATACACCTATTATGAACCCATAAACATTAAAAAATGAAAAGCTAAACATGGAATTAACATATGACCTAGTAATTCCCCTGCTAGGTATATATCCCAAAGAATTAAAAACTGGTACACAGTGGGGCCGGTGGCTCATGCCTGTAATCCCAGCACTTTGGGAGGCCGAGGCGGGCGGATCACGAGGTCAGGAGATCGAGACCATCCTGGCTACCACGGTGAAACTCCGTCTCTACTAAAAACACAAAAAATTAGCCAGGTGTGGTGGCTGGCGCCTGTAGTCCCAGCTACTCAGGAGGCTGAGACAGGAGAATGGCGTGAACCCGGGAAGTGGAGCTTGCAGTGAGCCCAGATCACACTACTGTACTCTAGCCTGGGCAACAGAGCGAGACTCTGTCTTAAACAACAACAACAACAACAACAAACCGGTACACAAATACATGCACACCAATGTTCACAGCGTTATTCACAATAACCAAACGGTGGAAACAGCTGAAATATTCATGAATGAACAGATAACAAACTGTGTTATATATATACAATGGAATATTACTCTGCCACGAAAAGGAATGAAACACTGATACATGCAACAATGTGGATGAACCTCAAAAACATTTGGCCAGCCAGATGTGGTGGCTCTTGCCTGTAATCCCAACACTTTCAGAGGCTGAGGCAGGAGGAGCTCATAGCAAGACCTCAGTGCTACTAAAAACTAAATACAAAAACAAAAATTAGGCTAAGTCTAAGTCAAAGAAGCCAGACACAAAAAGTATTGTATGATTTCATTTACACAAAATATCCCAAAAAGGTAAATCCACAGAAGAATGCAGATTGGTGGTTGCCAGGGGTAGTGGACAGAGGAGAATGAGGAGCAACTGCTTAATGGGTCCAGAGGTTCCTTTGACATGATGAAAATGTTTTAAAACTAGACAGAAGTTGGCCAGGTGCAATGGCTCACGCCTGTAATCTTAGCACTCTGGGAGGCCGACGTAGGTGGATCGCTTGAGGTCAGGAGTTCGAGACCAGCCTGGCCAACATGGTGAAACCCTGTCTCTACTAAAAATACAAAAAAATTAGCCGGGTGTGGTGGTGGGCGCCTGTAGTCCCAGCTTCTAGGGAGGCTGAGGCAGGAGAATGGCATGAACCCGGGAGGCAGCGGAGCTTGCAGTGAGTGGAAATTGCGCCACTGCCCTCCAGCCTGGGCAACAGAGTGAAACTCCGTCTCCAAAAAAAAAGAAAGAAAAAAATTAGCAAAGTGTGGTGGCACATGCCTGTAATCCCAGTTACTTGGAAGCCTGAGGCAGGAGAATCGCTTGAACCTGGGACACAGAGGTTGCAGTGAGCCAAGATCCTGCCATTGCACTCCAGCCTGGGCAACAAGACTAAAACTCTAAAAAAAAAAAAAAAAAAAAAAAAGACCTAGACAGAAGTAGATGCACAACAAATACCAGTGACTTGTTCACTTTAGTTAATTTTTCGTCTATAAGGGCCTACCAAAAATTAAAGATAAATGAAAGTAAAAAATGAAAAAAGAAATGAAAGGGCATTAAAAATTTTAAAAAACAAAACGATTAATTTTATGTTATATGAATTTCATCTTAATTTAAAAAAGCAGAATAGATGTTCATGTCTGGCAATAGGAGAGTGATGAAGCACACTGTCGGGCCGCCCTTCAGTGAAATATTATGCAGCTATTCAAAAAGCAAGGAAGATTAAAAAATAATATGATATGGAAAGATCTCTGAGAGATCTTGGCCAGGTGAATAAACAAGGTACACAACTGTTATGTATTGTGTGCTAGCATACATAGGAAGAGGGGAAAAACCCTTAAGTAGTAGTATTTCCTCATATATGGACCAATAAAACCACAGAAAGGGACGCAGAAAACTCTATAGTAGTTAGTGGGGTTTTTTGGCAGGGAGGTAGAGCAGGAATAAGAGAGGAAGATGGGAGGAGAGAGAGGAGAAGCACAGCTTAGTGAAGTGGTGAAGAGTCAGGACTTAAGAGCAGCAGGGTACATGGCTTAACAGAGTTCACCTGTTCGGGCTGAATCCTAGTTCCACTACTTAGTTACCTCATACCTCAGTTTCCTGTTTTGTAAAGGGGAATGGTAACAACTTTATTTCCACCCATATGGTTGTTAGAGGAGTAAATGATACAAATAATGAGATAATCTTAGTAAAGTGCCAGGCACATGGTATAATTACACTATAACCAGGAGCTCCTGCCTTTTTTTTTTTTTTTTTTTTTGAGACAGAGTCTCACTCTGTTGACCAGGTTGAGTGCATAGTGCAATCTCGGCTCACCGCAACCTCCATCTCCCGAGTTTGTGCGTCAACAAGCCCAGCTAATTTTTTGTATTTTCAGTGGAGACATGGAGTTTCACCATGTTGGCCAAGCTGGTCTCGAACTCCTGGCCTCAAGCAATCTGCCCGTCTCAGCCTCCCAAAGTGCTGGGATTACAGGCGTGAGCTACTGCACCCAGCCTTGCTCCTATCTTAATAATAAGCAGGAGAAACAGAACAAAGTACACAGGTGAGGATGGGCGTATCAAGTGTGTGGTCAATAGAGAGCCTCGCCTGAATAAAACTGAGGGTTCTTGCTCAGAATTTGGGAGAATAGGTTGGAAAAGGTGGGTCTAGGCTATGAAGGGACTTATGCTAAACGATAGAGTCTGAGTTTTCTAGTGAAGGCTGGGGTCTGCGATCCTGTACTGGCAAGGAGCAATCGTGTTCTTCATGACTGACTAGGAAGTCTGGAGTGGAGTTGGTGGGTAACGAGGCGAGGTGGTGATGAGAATCCTGTTCAGAAGTCACGGAGATCAAAGGTACACTATTAGTTCCCACATTTCAAGGTGTACATGTCCAGTCGATTTCCATGCTGTGAAATGTTGCCAAGAATCCAATCCTCAAACGCAAGGCTTACTAATGTTGCAAATGCCTGCAGGCTAGTATGATGGTGACTAGTATATTCACCATTTTTATTTATTTATGACATTATAATTATGAGCATGGTGGTGATACCAAGAAGTGTTTTTGAAAGATTAATCAATGCAAAATAAAAATAAAAAACCAATTCAAGAAGAATTGGGAAGGTACAAAAAAATTAAGTATGCTGATAAAGAAAATGAATTAGTCTGGGTAATAACAAAATGAAAAAGAAAAGAAGAGTAAAAGGTACACTGTGAAGGAAACATACAAAAGTCTTCGTAATGAACTGGATGTCAGTTACCCTTAGAAGCTGCTTGTGGACTTCCTAGGACTGCGATGTGATCCTGATCCAGGGCAGTGAGTGCAACTCCATTTCGAGTGTTACCAGATACAACAGCCTTGAGCAGCAGTGATCTAACTAAGGTCTGATTTTTTTCTGGGTCAGTTGGACGTATTGGTATCAAGGTTTCATATATACAACCATCAGAGCCTGTTGGAAATAAGCATTTGTTGCTGGTTATTGAAGGATATTTCTATATCTAGTATAGGTAAATGTACTAGATTGTTTATAATATTTTACCAATTTGATAAAAGAGCCAACCAGAAAAATAAACAATCCCCTCACAGTGCTTTCTCTTAAAGAATACTACAAATTTAAACTGGGGAAAGGAGTATTATCAAGAAAAATCTTAGTAAGAAATGTAACAGTCAAGAAAAACTGTAAATATCTGCAATAACAAAATATTGAGGGGGACTGCCAAGAATATAGATCATCTAGTCCCTAAAAGGATATATCCCTCATTAGAAAGTAATTAGCATCTGGTCTAGACATTACATTTCTTTTTTGTTTGTTTTTGTGAGACAGGATCTCACTCTGTGACCCAAGACCATATTGCAGTGGTGTGATCATGCTCACTGTAGCTTGAACCTACTGGGCTCAAGTGATCTATCTTTCCACGTCAGCCTCCCAAATAGCTGGGACTACAGGTGCACACACCTCACCCAGCTAATTAAAAAAAATTTTCTTTTAGAGATAGAGTCTTGCTATGTTGCCCAGGCTGGTCTCCAACTCCTGGGCTCAAGCAATCCTCCTGCCTCAGTCTCCCAAAGTGCTGGGATTACAGGTGTGAGGCACCGTGCTTAGTCTATTATAATTCTTCCTATCTAATCACCCTGAAAATCTTATGAAATTGCTCTTTCTTGTGGTCCAACTGAATTTTGGCAGTTTCATGTGGTTCTACCTATTGTTTTTTCTGTTGTTGTTGTTGTTTTTGAGACGGAGTCTTGCTCTGTTGCCCAGGCTGGAGTGCAGTGGCCTGATCTCAGCTCACTGCAAGCTCCACCTCCCGGGTTTACGCCATTCTCCTGCCTCAGCCTCCCAAGTAGCTGGGACTACCTACCGTTACATAAAGATTTATATGACCCTTTGGTTCACACTTCCTCCCTTCAAAGTTCATTAAGCTAAACATTAAGTACATTCCAATAACCCCCAAGATATGAAAATGACAGGAGCCTTTTAAAAAATAGCCACTGAAAACATTTGCACACTGAAAAACTTCACAAAGATTTTTAATTGTGATAATATGGAAATGTTTCCTATGTATTGCTCTTGTTTATTTCTCCTTCACTTTCTCAGAACAACTTCAAAAGCAGCCATGAAGGGTGGAGGGCAGAGGGTACTACAAAGACTTTTTTTTCCTTCCCCGCCCTAGAGGCCTAAGACTGGGGTTATACTTTAGACCATTTCATAAACGTAGACTATAAGGCATTACAATCTATAATAAAAAGCAAGTGGCATGGGCCAAAGCTGCTGTTAGTCTCCTTTTGCCCATCTGTCTCAGTCAGTATTCAAGGAAGGGCACACTAAATCTAATGGTTGGAAAAAAGGAGCAGAGGGGCCATTCAATGCCAAGCATAGACAGTTTATGGTTCACTAACTACACTCTCAAAGAATCTGGGCCTTATCAGCTAAAAGGTGATGTTTCTTTTTCATTGGTATTAATATTGTTACTTATTGCTTATGATAATTTTTTTTTTTTCCCGCTGAGACGGAGTCTTGCTCTGTCCCCCAGGCGGAAGTGCAGTGGAGCGATCTTGGCTTAATGCAAGCTCCGCCTACTGGGTTCACGCCATTCTCCTGCCCAGCCTCCCGAGTAGCTGGAACTACAGGCGCCCTCTACCACGCCCAGCTAATTTTTTGTATTTTTAGTAGAGATGGGGTTTCACTGTGTTAGCCAGGATGGTCTCGATCTCCTGACCTCGTGATCCACCCACCTCGGCCTCCCAAAGTGTTGGGATTACAGGCACGAGCCACCACGCCTGGCCAGCTTATGGTGAATTTTGACAAAGCAATGTTAGAAAAGGATGCTATACCTAAAGTACTTCAATAGGCCCTCAAAACACAGGATCACTGATTTAATGCATGGCCAGACATGCAAAGTACAAAAGGCAAATGCATGGGCCGGACAAGGTGGCTCACGCCTGTAATCCCAGCACTTTGGGAGGCCAAGGCGGGCAGATTACCTGAGGTCAGGAGTTTGAGACCAGCCTGGCCAACATGGTGAAACCCTGTCTCTACTAAAAATACAAAAATTAGCTGAATGTGGTGGTGGGCGCCTGTAATCCCAGCTACTCAGGAGGCTGAGGCAGGAGAATTGTTTGAGTCCGGGAGGCAGAGGCTGCAGTGAGCAGAGGTTGTGCCACTACACTCCAGCCTGGGCGACAGAGTGAGACTCCATCTCAAAAAAAAAAAAGAAAAAAAAAGTGAAGGCATGAATGCTGTAAGGAAGCACAAAAATGGCTGTAACTGAATGCTTCACAAAGTCTAAGATTCAAAAACAGACATTATCCGATAACATTCCTCTATTTATAATCTCTGAAAGTTCAAAGAAAGAAAACTTACTTAATGACATCAAAGAGATGAATTTCCGATCTACAGATGCAGTAAAACTCTCTATAACAGAGTTTTCATCTTGTCCAAGTAAGAGTGTATATTTGGTTAAGATACGTGAGTTAAACATTTGCACGTAAGCAAAGTAATTTCCATGCTGCAAAAAAAAAAAAGGTTATTTTATAAATATTCCCATTTCAACCAAGTATTTTAACATATGTCAAAACCAGAAGTTGTCACCCCATTCTAATTACATCAATGAGTACTTAAAAACATCTTATCCAATTAAATTTATTTGTTTGTTTTGAGACAGGGTCTTGCTCTGTGGCCCAGGCTGGACTACCGTGGTGTGATCTCGGCTCATTGCAACCTCCACCTCCTAGGCTCACACAATCCTCCCACCTTGGCCTCCCGAATATCTGGGAATACAGGTGTGCGTTGTCATGCTCCAGTATTTTTTTTTTTAATAGAGATGAGGTCACCACACCCAGCCTTAAATTTAAAAGGTTATAAAAAAGTTACAGGCTGGACGTGGTGGTTCATGCCTCTAATCCCAGCACTTTGGGAGGCCGAGGTGGGTAGATCACAAGGTCAGGAGCTCGAGACCAGCCTGACCAATATGGTAAAACCCCGTCTCTACTAAAAATACAAAAATTAGCCAGGCGTGGTGGCGGGCACCTGTAGTCCCAGCTACTTGGGAAGCTGAGGCAGGAGAATCACTTGAACCCGGGAGGTGGAGGTTGCAGTGAGCTGAGATCGTGCCACTGCACTCCAGCCTGGGTGACAGAACAACACTCCGTCTCAAAACAAAATAAAAAATAAAAAGTAAAAAAAAATTAGAGATATTCTGAGAGAATAAGGAGTCCCATTTTAATTCAAAAAATAATGGTTTTGCACCGGGCATAGTGGCTCACGCCTGTAATCCTAGCACTCTGGGAGGTTGAGGTGGGCGGATCGCCTGCGGTCGGGAGTTCAAGACCAGCCTGACCAACATGGAGAAACCCCATTTCTACAAAAAATACAAAATTAGTCGGGCGTGGTGGTGCATGCCTGTAATCCCAGCTACCAGGGAGGCTGAGGCAGAAGAATCACTTGAACCCGGGAGGAGGAGGTTGTGGTGAGCCGAGATCGCGCCATTGCACTCCAGGCTGGGCAATAAGAGCAACAGGAGTGAAACTCTGTCTCAATAAATAAATAAATAAATAAATAAATAAAGGTTTTGAAATTTCACAGCTGGGCTCAATGGCTCACACCTGTAATCCCAGGACTTTGAAAGGCCAAGGCAGGAGGATCCCTTGAGCCCAAGGAGTTTGAGACCAGCCTGGGCAACACAGTGAGACCCTGTCTCTACAAAAAATAAAACATAAGCCGGGATGATAGTGCATGCCTGTGGTCCCAGCTACTCGGCAACTCGGCAGGCTGAGGTGGGAGGATTGCTTGAGCCAGGAGGTTGAGGCTGCAGTGAACCATCATGGCACCACTGCTCTCAAGCCTGGGTGACAGGGCAAGACCCTATCTCTAAAAAAAAATTTTTTTTTTAAAAAAGAAATTTCACAAAATGGGCCAGGAATTGAGGATACCACTTACTTTTTCAGTAATAAAAATTAAAACAGGATGCCTGAATACTATGAAAAATTTTGTCCATCTACAAAAAAAAAAAAAAGAAAAAAGAAAAATTATATAACGCAAAAATCACCAGCTGGGAGACACATTTCAATCAAAATTTAATCAATGTTTTCATTAAATATTTTTTAGAACCAGAGAGACATCAGAGAACACTTAATTTGGCGTTTTGAAACACATACCACAAGGAATACGTGTTTGTCAAATGCGGCTCTGGATTAAATGCAGGTTGTTGAACTCCCCAGATGATAATGTGAATTTTAAAGTTCCAAGAGGGGAGATGCAGTGCTTCCCAAAATTAAATTGACTCCCCTACCTCATTTTTTTCAGAGTTACTTTTGGGACTCATGTTCTGAGGAAAACATTAAGATCTCAATACAGAGGAAGCTGAGGCATAGTTATTGGCTGCACAGTTTGTGGCAAAGCGGCAACTAGAGCTCAAATCCTCCAAAGATTTCCCTCAAAACAGTTGCTCACACCTTAGAGGTATTCATCAGGTCAGTCTAATCTATAACTCGTTACTGTCCATGTTGTAAGTACCAGTCTGAACTCTGACTTTTAGAAAATGAGTTTCTACCAGGTAGACCTGGAGAAAACAAGTCAATGAACAGGAAATGTGATGAAATAAAGAGGATCAGAAAGACGTGAAATCATGAAGTGTCCTTCTATCCCTTGATGAGTCATTTTTCCAGTTTTATTTCAGAATCTGGGAATGCAGAGGTCTTAACACACACCATGATTTCACTAACACGATACACTTTTAGCCAGGCGACAAGGATGGGAGCTTGGTAGTCAGGGCAATATGACAGAAACAAAAAGATTTTGGTCTTTTGGGATAACCCATTTCATCCTCAGATAACTGAGTATCCATTTCTGTCAAGACCTCATATGACTCTATGGTTTCTTCAATCATCATGCCCAGAGGCTTTTTGGGACCTTATTTTTAGTCAATGTTTTATAAGTGACTTTTAATTAGGTTACTTTCATTATATTTATAACCAATACTTTTGAACAAGGCAAAAAAATGTTCAGTGCATTTTTATTTTGATAAATTTACTTACAAGTACTGGTACTTACTTAATCACTTCTTCATCAGAGATAACAGTTTCAATTTTCTGCTGGGGGTCTGCAAGCAAGGCCTCTAAACCACGAACAGCACCCTCCTTGAAGAGCACCAAGGGTTCTGTCCCTTGCACTGAAAGTATCCTATATACTTCAGCTGACAACTGGAAGAACATACAAAATTTTAATTTTTATTCTAAAACAGTGTATACCTAATATAATAAGATAATGATATTTAGAGAAGGCTTTTTTTTTTTTTGAGATGGAGTCTCGCTCTGTCGCCCAGGTTGGAGTGCAGTGGGGCGATCTTGGCTTACTGCAAGCTCCGCCTCCCGGGTTCACGCCATTCTCCTCCCTCAACCTCCTAAGTACCTGGGACTACAGGCGCCTGCCACCACGCCCGGGTAATTTTTTTGTATTTTTAGTAGAGAAGGGGTTTCACCGTGTTAGCCAGGATGGTCTCAATCTCCTGACCTCATGATCTGCCCTCTCGGCCTCCCAAAGTGCTGTGATTACAGGCGTGAGCCACCGTGCCCGGCCACGGAGGCTTCTTTTTAAGTGACTCCTTTGTTTTCATTTTGATTTAGTTTTGCTTTGTAACTATGTATGGTTCCAAAATCTAATCTACAACACAAACACATTTAGACTTTTTCTCTTATCCTCTCTACCTAGTCCCAACTTTAATCTGTAAGTTCATTTTTGGTTTATCCATTGTGACTACTAGAGGTTAGACTAAAACCTGGGTTTCTTAAAAATGGGGAAGATACAAATAAGCCATTCATGCAGAGGTACATGCAATTCTGATGTTAGATAAGAACTGATGCCACAATTAAAACTACAGCCCGCAATTCCAGAAAAAGAAGTTAACACTGTGTGTGAGGAAAACAACAACAAATAAACCCCCACTGTTTAAAATTCAGGATTATGTTAAGAATTTCAAGGTAAATGAAAAGACTGGAGCCAGGGAACAGCTTGAGCCACCGCGCCCGGCCTGTGAGCCACTTCTAAAATGTGCCAATTATATTTAGACATTTAGAACTGAAAGAACTTTCAAGATTAACCTAGTTTAAGATACTCATTTTATAAGTAAGAAAAAATGCACACACTCTAGGTCATTAGCAGAACATACACAGCTAGTCATGTTTTGATTTGATTTTTTACTGTATTATATGCCACTCTTAAAAATGTACAATACGCCGGGCGCGGTGGCTCAAGCCTGTAATCCCAGCACTTTGGGAGGCCGAGGCGGGCGGATCACGAGGTCAGGAGATCAACACCATCCTGACTAACACGGTGAAACCCCGTTTCTACTAAAAAATACAAAAAAACTAGCCGGGCGAGGTGGCAGGCGCCTGTAGTCCCAGCTACTCGGGAGGCTGAGGCAGGAGAATGGCGTAAACCTGGGAGGCAGAGCTTGCAGTGAGCTGAGATCCGGCCACTGCACTCCAGCCTGGGCGACAGAGCGAGACTCCGTCTCAAAAAATAAAAAAATAAAAATAAATAAATAAATAAAAATGTACAATACATGAAACTTGCAGGGTCTACCTATTCTAAGAAAAGGTACAGGAAGTTCATTTTGCGCTCACAAAAGACATACTCCAAACATCCAAACTCATGGAAATAAGTGTAAATTTCTCATTCATGAATTATATAAATCCTCATCTCCTTAACTCATGGAGACATGTTACCAAGATATACTGTAAGGTAATTAGAATGAAAACCTGATTAGGACCTTATGCTTATTTTCCCAGAAGTATTAAAATAAATAACACATACTTTATTATAAATGATTCTAATTCACCAATAAGCTAAATAAATATGTTGGAAAATTCAAAGACTTACTGTAGCTTTAAACACTTTATCCAGGTTTACATCTTCATTATTCCATATTCTTAAAACCTTAAATCAAAACATACTAGTTAAAAACTATTCTATTCTCCATTTACATATAATAAAAACAAATAGTTAATAATCAACATTTATGTTGTATATATTATATAAAAGTTTTAAAACTCACCTTATTATCGTGTACAACAATATACTCTCTAGTTTGAAAGTTGCACACAGCTGGACATGTTATAATTTGACCTTGTTTCACTGACCAGCTCCCCAAGGGTTTCTGATCAGAAACCTAATGAAATTAAGATAAATACAATATTAAGTCAAATATTAAAAGCAATTAAATTTATAATCAATAAAAGTAACCATTAAAATGACAGCATTTAAAAAATTTACTGGCTAGTTGCAGTGGCTCACGCCTGTAATCCCAGCACTTTGAGAGGTCAAGGTGGGCGAATCACAAGGTCAAGAGTTCAAGACCAGCCTGACCAACATGGTGAAGCCCTGTCTCTACCAAAAATACAAAAATTAGCCAGGCGTGGTGGCGCGCGCCTGTAACCCCAGTTATTCGGGAGGCTGAGGCAGGAGAATCGCTTGAACCCAGGAGGCAGAAGTTGCAGTGAGCCAAGATCGCGCCACAGCGCTCCATCCACCTCGGCCTCCCAAAGCTCTGGAATTACAAGCACACGCCACCGAGTCCGGCTAATTTTTGTATTTTTAGTAGAGACAGTAGTTCACCATTTTGGCCTGGCTGGTCTCGAACTCCTGAACCTCAGGTGACCCACCCACCTCGGCCTCGCAAAGTTCTGGGATTACAGGCGTGAGCCACCGCGCCGGCCAAAACTTTAAAAGGGTAGTTAAAATGAAAATATAACTATGTTCCTAAATAAGTAAATAAACAGCCCTTTGTTAAAAAACAATAGTACATTTAAAATTGATTATATTAGGCCTCTGAATAGAGGCATGGGAAGTTATGCCTTTAAACAGGGGCATGGGAAATTAAGTAGACATCTGGGATCATGTCTATCCAATTCCAATCAGTCGCTGTATTCCTATGTAGGAACTGCAAAAACTGCAAACGTACTTGACAGCCCAAGTAAAACCCAAGAGTCAGCAGAGTCAAAACAGTACAGGGAGCTGTTGGCAACCTGTTCTCGAAACGTCAAAGCAGATAGCTAACTTCTTTAAAACATAGAAAACTATGTTCAGCAGCCCAGATAAAAGTAACTGCTTTCCATGCGACCAACAAAAGCAAGCTTAGAAAGTGTTCTCTATCAGGCTTTAGGCTGAAATGGGGGCAGGACTTGCAGATTTTCCTGGGACTCAACTCCAGGATTCACAGCGTGAACCAGAGATGCCAACAGACAAGCCACTTGGAGTCAAGATTCTTACCGAGCTATCAAGAAAGTCCCTTACCCTCTAAAATTGTCCCTCCCTACAAAGACAGGGGTGTGAAGTGTAGACACAGGGCTAAACCACTATTCCCACTCTTGTCAGTGTCATCCTATCCCGCCCAAACAATCTCCGTTCCATCCTCCCGCGGGCAGCTAGGACGATAAAGACCCCAGGAGGGAATCTTAGCAATACCATCTCCGCCAGTTCCGAAGCAAAAGCACAGGTTCTTTTTCTTTTCCGAGTCTAACCCACGTGCACTCAGACGGTCTGCCCTTGCAAGTCGGAAATATGCCTTTACAGGAAGGCAAGCAAGCCAGATTCTAGACCTCACTCAGCGTTCCCGAGAGGCCCAGCCGGCTGTCTGTTAAGCCTTCTCCACGATCTCTTTCTGAAGCTGTGAGAAACTCGAGCTCGAGCTCCGCGCTCAGAAAGGGGCGAGAAGGCAGTCGGGGCGCTCCCAATCCTACTGCCTTCACCTTATAGAGGATGACTGTCCTGCCGCTGTCTGTCACTAGAAACTGGTCTGTTTTGTCGCTCTGCTCCACGCCTAGGAGTCCTTCAGGCCCGGCGCTCAGGACCACCGAAGACAACGTGAATTCTTCCTCCAGCGCTGCCATTTTGAGCAAACCTAAGTACGGCCGCGCTCCCTCCCGGCAGGCCTCGCGCTTTCTCTCGCGAGAATGAACGGGCCTGAGCGGGAGAGTGTTTGCCAAACCAGGAACCTGCTCTCGCAGCCTGCGACCCCTGGCGGGCGGAAGGAGCGAGCGTGACTGTGAATTCAGCCAGGTGGGCGGGGCCGGCTTGCGCCAGACTCCGCCTCCAGAGAGCACGCCTCCCCGAGTCCCGGATGTACTCCAGGAAGGGATAGAGTAGGCGCGGAAGTGTTGCTTACTGGGTTCTGAATAGGCTGCGTGCCCTTCTAGGTGGGGTTTTGTGAGACCGTGGGATGGATCTGCGGAGTTGTCGAATATAAATAAACTAGATTTTTTTTTTTTTAAATTCTAAGGGAACTCCCCAGGAATTCCTCCCACGGCCTTGTGGAACGATCTGCCAAAGAAAAAATATTTATCTCTGTAGGTAAACGCCCAATAACGTGCTGTTCCTACGTGAAATGCTTAATTCCTACCAAGTTTCTTGGAACCCTGTAGAGATCTCCAGTCTCTTCAGTCTTTCAGGCCTTCTGAGTTCTCTGACTCCCCTTCTCTTAGCCCCAGTGGGGAAAGTCTTTCCTCAGCTCACAGGAAATTCAAACTAGTTTGATGAAGGTGAAGTTGAAGGTCCCCTGTGCGATTTTTGGCAAGGTTTTTATTTCCGAGAGAAATCTATGTTTCTAAGATAAGCATGGCAGATTAAATCAATAATGTTAAATAAATAAATAAAGATAAATTGTGATGTTCTTAGGGAGAAACCATTTAATAGACAATTACTAAACAAATGTACCCAGTGTGACAAAGTGCCTCGGTTTAGATTTGAGCATCCACCAGATCGCCATGTGTGTTGTTTTTCATTGCCCCAACATGACAACATGGGCAGAAGGAGAATATTCAGCTACTGTGAAGGAGTCAAATACAGTCAATTTTTATAAAGCTAGTAGGTCTTTTGTTGTTCAAAAGTAGTGGCATTATGGCTCACTGCAGCCTCTAACTCTTGGGCTAAATAAAGCAATCCTCCTGCTTCAGCCTCCCGAATAACTGGGACTACAGGCATACATCATCACATCCGGCTAATTTTTGTATTTTTTGCAGACATGGAGTCTTGCTTTGTTGCCCAGGGTGATCTTGAACTCTGATAATCTTTTAATTTTTAGGCTGGGTTGTGAGATCAGGAGTATGTAGTTTATTTTTATGCTTCATAACTTACTTTTGTGATAGGTGGTAAGAAGAAAAACATTAAGCTCAGAAGTGGGAGATAAAGCGTGGATGTGTGGGGGAGGAAGGAGTGGTCTGTGTATGTGAAATTTTAACTAGGATGACCACAGGCTTCCTTGAGAGGATGTCTTTTCTTTTCTTTTTTTTTTTTTTTGAGACGGGGTCTCACTCTATTACCCAGGCTGGCGTGTAGTGACGCAGTCTCAAGTCACTGCAGTCTCTGCTTCCTGGACTTAAGTTATCCTCCCATCTCAGCCTCCCGAGTAGCTGGGACTACAGACACGCACCACCATGCCCAGCTAATTTTTGGATTTTTTTGTAAAGATGAGGTTTCAGGCCGGGCGCGGTGGCTCAAGCCTGTAATCCCAGCACTTTGGGAGGCCGAGACAGGCGGATCACGAGGTCAGGAGATCAACACCATCCTGACTAACACGGTGAAACCCCGTCTCTACTAAAAAATACAAAAAAACTAGCCGGGCGAGGTGGCGGGCGCCTGTAGTCCCAGCTACTCCGGAGGCTGAGGCAGGAGAATGGCGTAAACCCGGGAGGCGGAGCTTGCAGTGAGCTGAGATCCGGCCACAGCACTCCAGCCTGGGCGACAGAGCGAGACTCCGTCTCAAAAAAAAAAAAGATGAAGTTTCACCGTATTGCCCAGGCTGACCTTGAACTCCTGGGCTGACATGGTCCTCCCACCTTGGCCTCCTGGAGTGCTGGGATTACAGAGCCACAGTGCCTGGCCCAAGGGTATCTTTTGAGGAATGACATGAAGGAGGGGAGGGAGCTAATCATGCAGTTAACTAAGATAAGAGCATTCTCAGTAGCAAGTACCCCTGGGGCACCAACTGGGAGATGCCCTAGAAGTCGCAGTTATTGTAGTTATCAGGTGAGAGGTGATGAGGGCACCATTGGTAGCAAAGGCTTTTCTTTCTGCCATGCCTAAAATAAGCCTTGTTCTTCATTTTGTAAACTCAGCAACCTATTTGTTTCCTTTTTAATCATAGTTTGTAATTTTTAAAAAATTTGTTTACTCACCTACTGAGTCTCCCCAACTATGTCACAAGCTTCTTTCGGTTAAGGGGTTCCTGTCTGTCATATTCACCCTTGCATCCCCATTTCCTAGCATTTGGTAGGCACTCAGCAAAAATGTACTGCTGGTTGATGAATGACTTCTCATTTTTTTAAAAATTATTTTTATTTATAAAATTGAGATGGGGTCTCGCTATGTTGCCGAAGCTGGTCTGGAACTCCTGAGCTCGAGGAATCTGCCTGCCCCAGCCTCCCAAAGTGCTGGGATTACAGGTGTGATCCACTGTGCCTGGCTGACTTAACTTTTTTTTTCTTTCTTTCTTCCTTCTTTTTTTTTTTTTTTTTTTGAGACAAAGTCTTGCTCTGTTGCCAGGCTAAAGTGCACTGGTGCAATCTTGGCTCACTGCAACCTCTGCCTCCCAGGTTCAAGCGATTCTCCTGCCTCAGCCTCCTGAGTAGCTGGGACTACAGGCTCGCGCCACCACGCCTGGCTAATTTTTTCTGTTTTAGTAGAGATGGAGTTTCACCATGTTGGCCAGGATGGTCTCAATCTCCTAACCTCATGATCTGCCCGCCTTGGCCTCCCAAAGTGCTGGAATTACAGGCGTGAGCCACTGCACCTCGCCTTTTTTTTCTTTTTTGAGACAGAGATTCACTCTTGTCACCCAGGCTGGAGTGCAATGGCACAATCTTGGTTTTCTGCAACCTGCAACCTCCACCTCCCGGGTTCAAGCAATTCTCCTGTCTCAGCCTCCCGAGTAGCTGGGATTACAGGCGCCCACCACTGTGGGGAAAAGAAAGAGAGATCAGCCTGTTACTGTGTCTATATAGAAAGAAGTAGACATAAGAGACTCCATTTTGTTCTGTATTTGAGATGCTGTTAATCTGTGACCCTACCCCCAACCTTGTCCTTGCAGAGACATGTGCTGTGTTTAATGGATTTTGGCGTGCAGGGTGTGACTTTGTTCCTAGAAAGCTAGGTATTGTCCAAGGTTTATCCCCATGTGATAGGATGAAACAATGTTGCTAAAAGGTTTATCTCAAGGCACAGGATTTACCTTTAAACTTATTCATGTCACAGATCCTTGTTCTTATGTCTTACTGCTAATTTCCTCCCTAAAAATGATCCTATTGTCCTGCCACTCCTTATCCTTAAGATGGTAAAGATAATTATCTATAATACTAAGGGAACTCAGAGGCCGGTGCCGGCGTGGGTCCTCTGTAAGCTGAGCGCCGGTCCCCTGGGCCCCCACTTTTCTTTCTCTATACTTTGTCTCTGTGTCTTATTTCTTTTCTCAAGTCTCTCGTTCCACCTAACGAGAAACACCCACAGGTGTGGAGGGGCAGGCCACCCCTTCATCTGGTGCCCAACGTGGAAGCTTTTCTCTAAGGTGAAGGTACGCTGGAGCGTGGTCATTGAGGACAAGTCGACGAGAGACTCCCGAGTACGTCTACAGTCAGCCTTGCGGTAAGCTTGTGCGCTCGGAAGAACCTAGGGTAACAATGGGGCAAACTAAGAGTAAATATGCCTCTTATCGCAGCTTTATTAAAATTCTCTTAAAAAGAGGGGGAGTTAAAGTCTCTACCAAAAATCTAATTACGCTGTTTCAAACAATAGAGCAGTTTTGTCCATGGTTTCCGGAACAGGGAACTTTAGATCTAAAAGATTGGGAAAAAATTGGCAAAGAATTAAAACAAGCAAGCAGGGAAGGTAAAATCATTCCGCTCACAGTATGGAATGATTGGGTCATTATTAAAGTAGCTTTAGAACCATTTCAAACAGAAGAAGATAGCGTTCCAATTTCTGATGTCCCTAAAAGCTGTGCAGTAGATTGTGAAAAAGAGGCAGGGATAGAATCCCGGAAAGGAAAGGAAAGTTCACACTGTGAATGTGTATCAGAGCCGGCTATGGCTCGGTCAACGCAAAATGTTGACAATAATCAATTACAGGAGGTAGTATATCCTGAAACGTTAAAATTAGAAGAAAAAAATCCAGAATTAGCAGAGCCATCAGAGTCTAAACCACGATGGCCAACTCCTCTTCCAGCAGCTCAAATGCCTGTAACTTTACAACCTCAAATGCAGGTTAAACAAGTACAAACTCCAAAAGAAGATCAAATAGAAAAAGATAGAGTCTCTGTCATGGCAATGCCAATCCAAATACAGTGTCCACAATATCAGCCGGTAGAAGATAAGACCCAGCCGCCAGTAGCCTATCAATACTGGCCGCCAGCTGACCTACAGTATCAGCAGCCCCCAGAAAATCCGTGTGGACAGCCAGGAACATTTCTAGCGCCACAGGGCAGGGCGCCATATCCTCAGCCGCCCACCATGAGACTTAATCCTACAGCACCGCCTAGTACACAGGGTAGTGCGTTACATAAAATTATTGATGAGGCAAGAAAACAAGGAGATATTGAGGCGTGGCAATTCCCAGTAATATTAGAAGCAAGACCACCTGGAGAAGGGGCCCAAGAGGGAGAGTTTCCCGTAGCTGAAGCCAGATATAAGTCTTTTTCTATAAAAATGCTAAAAGAAATGAAAGAGGGAGTAAAACAGTATGGACCCAACTCTCCTTACATGAGAACATTATTAGATTCCATTGCTCATGGACATAGACTCATTCCTTATGATTGGGAGATTCTGGCAAAATCCTCACTCTCACCCTCTCAATTTTTACAATTTAAGACTTGGTGGATTGATGGGGCACAAGTACAGGTCCGAAAAAATAGGA